CAGTTGTCATCAAGTTGACTTAATTGATGTGTGTTGACCCCATGTGTGTCAGAGTAGAACTGTGCTCCATAGGGTTGCTTGGTTGGTTTTTTAAAAATACATAGAAAATCCCAAAGACTCAGTAAGAAAATTGTTAGAACTCATTGAAAAATTCAGCAAATTGGCAGGATACAAGATCAATATACAAAAATCAGTTGGATTCCTATACATCAATAAAGACAGCTCTGAAAAGGAAATTAGGAAAACAATACCATTTACAATTGTTGTTGTTGTTAAGTGCCATTGACCGGGTTCTAACTCATAGTGACCTTATATAGGGTTTCTGAGGAGCAATTTAAATACTTAGAAATAAAGCTAACTAGAGAAACAAAAAATCCATACAAGGAAGACTACAAAACCAGCAGTAGTAGCAAAGTTCAATAAAAACAGGAAACAACAAATATTGGTGAGCGTGTGGAGAGACCGGGACCCTCCTACATTGTTGGTGGGACTGTAAAATGGCTTAACCACTTGGAAAACGGTATGATGCTTCCTCAGAAAGTTGGAAATAGAAATATCTTATGACTCAACAATCCCTCTACTTGGTATATATTACAAGAAATGTGAGCCAGGACACAAGTAGATATATGCACACCGATGTTCATCTCAGTGCTTTTCACAATAACAAAAACATGGAGACAGCCTAAATTTCTATCAGTGGAAGAGTGGATAAACAAACTTTGGTATAGATGCGCAATGAAAGACTATGAAAATTAGAAGAAGAATAATGAATCTGTAAAACAAACTTATAACATGGATTTACCTGAAGGACATTATGCTGAGTGAAATTAGTCAATCACAACAGGACAAATGTGTCACCACTATTGTAAAAACTCAAGAAAAGGTTTCCATAAGAGAGAAGGGATAGTAATTCACTGGCTACAATAGACACACATTGACTCAGATGCTGGGAAGGGCAATATACAAGGGTGAAGTTGGCAAAAGAAAGATGAAGACTGGTGGTGACGCACAGGGGAATGCAAGTGCTAAAGAGGATAGAGGTAAATAGTGGTATATACATAACTTTAGAACAACAGTGTTCTGTGTGTGCATACAAACTGAGCTGGTATGGGAGGAAGAGTGGCAGAGATATGTAAATATTTTTATTTGTTGTTGTTAAGTGCCGTCGAGTCAGTTTTGACCCATAGCGACCCTGAACAGGGTTTCCGAGGCTGTAAATCTTTACGGGAGCAGATCGCCTCATCTTTCTCCCGCGGAACAGCTGGTAGTTTCGAACTGCAGACCTTGCGGTTTGCAGCCTGATTCGTAACCACTACGCTACCAGAGCTCCTTATAGCCCACAAATAATTAAATGTTTGAAAGAGGATATTTGCACATGGGTAACCACAGGGAGAAAGTAGGATAACTGTTGTTATAAGAGGGGATTGCAATCATTATATATGAACTAAAGTGATTTGTTGAATGTAAAACCAATGATCTTGTCTGTAACCTTTGCTCAATTCACAATAAAATAAAAAAAGATTTCAATGTGTATTCCATCAATTCCTTGAGTCTTGTTCTTTGCCAATACCTTCAATGCAACTTGCACCATTGGCTCTTGATCAAATGCTACCTCTTGAAATGATTGAACACCAACCATTTCTTTTTGGTACAGTGACTCTGCATATTCCTTCCATCTTCTTTTGATGGTTTCTGCATCATTCAATATTTTGCCCATAGACTCTTTCAATATTTCAAATTAAGGCTTGAATTTTTCTCTTCAGTATTTCAGCTTGAGAAATGCTGAACATGTTCTTCCCTTTTGGTTTCCTAACTCCAGGTCTTCACATGTTTCACTGTAATACTTGGCTTTGTTTTCTAGAGTTGTCCTTTGAAATTTTCTATTCAGCTCTCTTACCTCCTCATTAGTGTCTAATGCATCAAATCTGTTCTTGAGATGGTCTCTAAATTCAAGTGGGATATGTTCAAAATCATATTTTGGCTCTCATGGACTTGTTTTCATTTTCTTCAGCTTCAGCCTGAACTTGCATATGAGCAATTGATGATATGTTCCACACTCTGCCCCTGGACTTGTTTTGACTGATAATATGGAGCTTTTTCACTGTCTCTTTGGTTTCTGTGTATTCTATCTGTTGAGGTTCATGTGTATAGTCATCTTTCATGTTGTTTTAAAAAGGTATTTGCAATGAGTAAGTCATTGGGCTTGCAAAATTTGATCATGTGATCTCAATTTCCTCTGTTTTTAACCTTTGCATTCCAATCACCAGTAATTATCAATGCATCTTGATTGCATGTTTGATAGAATGTTTGGTAGAATTCTTCAAGTTCATCATCACTAGCTTTAGTGTAAATTTGAATAATATTGGTATTAGCTTGTCTTTCTTGTAAGCGTATAGATACTATTCTATCTCAAATAGTGTTTTCTTCAAGATAGATCTTGAAATGTTTTTGATGATGAAAGCAACACCATTTCTCTTGAATTTGTTATTCTCGTCATACTAAAACATATGATTGATTCACATATGCCAATACCAGTCCACTTCAGGCTCACTAATGCCTAGGATGTTGGTCTGTATGCATTTCATTTCAGTTTTGACAACTTCCAACTTTCTTAGATTCATACTTTATATGAATCCTGGTGTAGTGCTGTGTGTTAATGCACTGGGCTGCAAAGTTGGTTTGAACCCCAAGGTTGGCGATTCAAGCTCACCAGTCACTCCTCAGAAACCTTATTCAGGGTCTCTATGGGTTGAAACTGACTCAACAGTACTTAATAACAATAACATACTTCATACATCCCAAGTTCTGATTATGAATGGGTTTTTACAGCTGTTTCTCCTCATTTGAATTGTGCTCCGTCAGCAAACGAAGGTCCTGAAAGCTTTACTCCATTTGTGTCATCATGATCAACTCTACTTTGAGGAGGCAGCTCTTCCCCAGTCATATTTTGAGTGCCTTCCAACCTGAGGGGCTCATCTTCCAGCATTGTATCTGACAATGTTCTGGTGCTCTTCATCATGTTTCATTATTCAATACTCTGGTGCTATCTGACAGTGTTCCACTGCTATTCATAAAGTTTTCAGTGGCTTAACATTCAGAATTAGTCCACCTTTCCTTCTTCTTAGTCTTAGTCTGAAAGCTCAGCTGAAAGCTGTCCACCATGTTGGTATTTAAAGTACCAGGAGCATTGCTTCCAGCATCACAGCAACATGCAATCAACCACAGTACACCACACTGATAGATGAGTAGTGGCAGAAAAACAATAGACATGTCGGGGAACAATGACGCTAGGGAGGGACCCACACCTTATAATAATCAACCATTTGAGGTCAAAAGGGCAGCATTTACCCATGGACAAAGTTCAGAAGGGTTAAGAAAGAAGAAGCTGGAAACCAGAAACACAGGGAAGAAGTAGGATAAGTATGCTACATTGTGCAGATTCCATTCAATTACATGAAGCAAAATGCATATGAATTGTTGAATGGAAAACTAATTTGTTCTGTAAACTTTCACCCAATTCACACAAAAAAGGATTGTTGTTGTTGTTTTTTTTTTTAATGAAGAAAATAAACTGTTGAATTGGTGTATGTTCTGCTATATTTATCCTCAACATAAACAAAAGTTAATTAACTAATTAATTTTTTTTTTGATCCTATGATGGTCTCAATCACTATCATTAAACTTAACTGTTGGCTCTTGTCAGCTGGTGCAAGCAGGCAGAAGCTGGCTCCAGCTTAGCCTTGGCCCAGTTCTGTGTCTTAGGCTGAAAGATGGGTGCACAGAAGGTTCATAGTATTCTTTACACATTGTGTGTGCATTACCACTTAAGGTTATAGGTGGGAACGGTTTCGTGATAATTGTTTAAAAGAAGTGGCAAGCAGGATTCCTGAGATCTGGGCCAAAGGAGAATTTGAGCTGTACTTCCTCCTCTCTCCTTCACCCCACCCCCTGAACAGCTCAAAGGAAAACCCAGAAAGGCTTTGATTGGGTGTCACGTTCCTCTGGTGACAGGGATCTGTGCCAGGCAAAGGAGGTTTGCCAGGGCAAGGAGGAAGGTCAGAAAGAGTTGACCCACTGCCATGAGGTTGGGCTGGCGCAGAGGCAGCAGCCATGGACTCAAGCCTGACAACAATGTGAAGACGGCACAGGACCAGGCAGTGTTTCCTTCTGTTTTGCATAGACAGCAACTAACAACAACAAATGAATCTGACTGGTATATGGGGGCATAGAGAAGTCCCTACATGCTGACCATGGACCCCTATCAGAACATTCCAGAAAATCCTTGGCCACAGGGCCTTTGCTTGGGAGGTAACCAGTTGCCAGAGAAAGACCAATGAATTAGAACCACAGGTCCCCTTCACATGACAAAGAGGCTTGGCAACTTGTCTTCAATCTGCCTATGGATAACACTCCCGCAATCCAACAGGGTCATGCTGACCCACAGGGACCATTGCAACACCGGGACTCTCAAGCCCGCCCTGCCTTTTCCCAGTAGATACCATCACTGGACTCTCAGAAAGAAAAAAGAATGACCCCACGGTGCTTGAGTGTTCCCTGTGTGTAGCAGAGTCTTGCCAAAAACCCATTGAACTGAGGAGCATGCAGGCTTAGAGAGGTGACAGATCTTGTCCAAGGTCACCCAACTAGGGAGTGGAAGAGCTGAGCTTTGAACTCAGGAAACCTGGCATTGTCACTGTGGCCAAAGGTGCTCAGTTCTCCTATTGGCAGATTAAGAAGTCAGAGATGTCTAGGGAATGAGGCTGACAATTAACCTGGGTTTGTGCACAATGTGACCAAGTTGTAAAGGAAACTGGTCATTCCCAGTACTGGGCCCAGGGACTAGCATAGAGAACCTGGTGACCATAAAATGAGTAACCTTGGTGGTGTACCCCAGGACCCTAAGCCCCCATATGAGGTTTAGGAAGAGGTGGACACTACAAAGGCCAATGCTGTTGGGCCCATAGGTCTTCACAGCCTCCACCCTTGCCCTCTGACCTGACCTTGAAACAAATTTGACCGCATGTTGTAGCCCAGATCGTAGTAGTCTGAGAACCTGGAAGAGATTTCCAAGGGGCTCTGGTTCCTGCTGGGCCATGAACTTGACCTCTTCTGGCACTCCACGGCTTCATCAATGGCCCTTCGTGCCTGAGTGGGGAGGGAGGGAGAGGAAACAAGGAATAGGAAAGCAGGTTCAAGCCTCACATCTCTCCTCAAACTCCTCCTCCCTCTGACCCTGTCTTCACTACCTCAGGCTTAGCCCTCCACAAACCCCAGGGACCTGGAGAGCTGGGAAGCCAGCCACACACACCATGGACTGCAGGCACCAAAGATAACAAAAATAAAACTTCCTCCACACTTTGAGCAGCTTCTCTGGGCATCATCCTTAATGTCAAAAAAACACTGCCAAGGAGTTGATCCAACTCATAGTGACCCCAGAGAACAGAGTAGAAGTGCTTCTAGGGTTTTTTTTGAGGCTGTAAAGCTATACAAGGAGCTCTGGTAGCATAGTGGTTACAAGTTGGGCCGCTAACCTCAAGGTCAGCAGTTCGAAACTAACAGCTGTTCCAAGGGAGAAAGAGGAGGTTTTCTGCTCCTGTAAAGATTGACAGCCTCGGAAAACTTGTACAGGGTCGCTATGAGTTGGAACCGACTCAATGGCACATAACCACTACCACCAAATCTATATAGGAGTAGACTGCCCTGTTGAACAGGTGGTGGGTTTGAACTGCCAGCCTCTAAGTTAACAGCCCAATGCCTAACCCACTGTGTTACAAAGGTCTCTTTGAAGTCTTAATCCAAAACCACTGTCATCGTGTTGATTCCAACTCATACTGACCCTCTTTAAGTGTTCAGAGATTGCAGATTTTCATGAGAGCAGATCTCTTCCCCAGATTGGCTGATAGATTCAATGTGCTGACCTGGTGATTAGCAGTCCAGTGCTTAGCCTACAGCACCACACCAGGACTCCTTATGGTGCTGGTGGTTATGTGCCATCAAGTTTATTCCAACTCACAGCAACCCTGGATAGGGTTTCCGAGACTGTAAATCTTTATGGGACCAGAAAGCCTCATCTTTCTCCCGTGGAGCAACTGGTAGATTCAAACTGCTGACCTTGCAATTAGCAATCCAACTCGTAATCAGCTCACTACCAGGGCTCCTTGGGAGTCCTAAGTTGTTGTTGTTGTTGTGTTGTCAAATCGGTTCCAACTCATAGCAGCCTTGTATAGGGTTTCTGAGGAGTGGCTACTGAGTTTGAACCGCCGACCTTGTGGTCAAGTGTTTATCCTACAGCACCACACCAGGACTCATTATTGTTGTTGTTAGGTGCCATGGAGTCAGTACTGACTCATGGGGACCCTGTGCACAACAGAATGAAACTCTGCCTGACCCTGGGCCAACCTCACAATCATTGCAATGTTTGAGCCCATTGCTGCTGCTACTGCGCCAATCCATCTTGTTGGGGGTCTTCCTCTTTTTCTCTGGTCCTCCATTTTACCAAACATGATATCCTTCTCCAGTGACTGGCCCCTCCTAACAATATGTTCAAAGTATGAGAGATGAAGTCTAGCCATCCTGACTTCCAGGGAGCATTCTGACTGTACTTCTTCCAACACAGACTAATTTGTTCTTTTGGCAGTCCATGGTACTTTCAATATTCTACTCCAACACCCTAACTCAAATATATCAGTTCTTCTACAGTCTTCCTTATTCACTGTCCAGCTTTCACATACATATGAGGTTATTGAAAATACCATGGCTTGGGTCAGGAACACCTTAGTCCTCAAGCTGACATCTTTGCTCTTCAACACTTTAAAGAAGTTTTGTGCAGCAGATTTGCCTAATGCAATACGTCGTTTGATTTCTTGACTGCTGCTTCCATGAGTGTTGATGATCAATCTGAGCAAAATGAAGTCTTTGACAATTTCAATATTTTCTCCATTTATATGGATGTTATTTATTGGTCCAGAACAAATAAAATATTTTTTTCTTTACATTGAGGTGCAACACATACAGAAGGTTGTGATCTTTGATCTTCATCGGCAAGTATTTTAAGTCCTCTTCACTTTCATCAAGCAAGGTTGTATCATCTGCATATTGCAGGCTGTTAATGAGTCTTCCCCCAATCATGATGCCATGTTTTTATTCATATAGTCCAGTTTCTCGGATTATTTGCTCAGAATATAGATTGAATAAGTATGGTGAAAGAATACAACCCTGGAGTACACCTTCCCTAATTTTAAACCATTCAGTGTGCCCTTGTTCTGTTGGAACAACTGCCTCATAGTCTATGTACAAGTTCCTCATGAACACAATTAAGTGTTCTGGAATACTCATTTTTCTCAATGTTTTCCATAGCTTGTGATTATCCATATTTTGAAAGCCTTTGCATAGTCTGGTAATCTCTACTTTCAGCCAAGATCCATCTGATGTCAGCAATGATATCCCTTATTCCATGTCCTCTTCTGAATCCAGCTTGAACCTCTGGAAGTTCTATGTTAATATATGGTTGCAGTCATTTTTAAATTATATTTAGAAAAATTTTGCTTGTGTTGGATATTAATAATATTGTCCAATGATTTCCACATTCCACTGGAATGGGCATAAGTATGGATCTTTTCCAGTCAATTGGCCAAGTAGCTGTCTTCCAAATTTTTTGGCTTAGATGAGTGAGTGCCTGCAAGGTAACATCAATTTGTTTAAAGATTTCTATTTGTATTCCATCAATTCCTTATAGAACTCCTTTTGTTGTTGTTAAGTGCCATCTAGTCAGTTCCAAAGGGGGTCATTATTCCTACATTTTATAAATGAGTAGACTGGGTCTCCAAGGGTGTCACTCAGGTCATACTATAGGTGAGCCTAGAGCCTGCTCTCCTAGATGCAATGTCACCTCAAGGTGGACTCTTAGATTTCATAGAGTCCAACTCCTTTTTTGTAACAATGGGGACACTGAAACCCAGAGAAGTTGAATCTAGACCCATCCATCAAGAAACCTAGGGTCAAGTCCCTACTGTGCTATATACCAATACTGATTTTGGACAAATCTGAACCTCTCTGGACCTCAAGTTCCCTACTTGTAAAATGGGAGAAGGAAAGAACTGAACGGTCTTTGAAGTAGCTTCCAGCTGTGACATATGCTGGTTTGATGTGCCAGCTCTTCAGAAAAACAATGTCTGTGATTTGAGCCCAAGACAGTGGTGGCTGAGAGAGAAATGCCACTTCCCCAAGTCCAAGAAGGGCAGTGAGAGGTCCTGACCATATGTCCTTTCCTCAGATTGGGACAAGAGCCCCAGTGGGCCAGAGCATTTAGGGTTTCAACTTCCCAGACTGCTAGCAGAGGAAATCACCACACCTTAAGAGACAAAGTGGAAGGGACGGTGGCCGAGAGGGGAAGCCTTTATGATCCTGCATCTTCCACTTGCACAGAATGTGACTCTGAAAAGATTCCTCATCTATAAAAATGGAACACCATGTCCAGTTACCAACGACATTGCTAAGAGGGGTTGAGGTGTTGTCCTTGAAAGTATGTCTGAGAATGCCTTAGCATTTGATCAGAAATGGCAGATGAGTTTCATGTCAAGTTTCAGTTGATTAGTAGTGACTGACAAATCAGGTGGATAAGAGAGTACCAGCATCGATTATTGATGTCTGCCATGAACGCAGATGAGGAGAGTTGTGGTATATGTGCCATGTATTTGCCCATGGTGTCTAGTCCAACTGCCTCAATGTACTGGTGTGTCAACTGAAGCTCAGAGAGGGAGAGTAATTTATTTAAAGTTACTCAGCATTCAAAGGCAGAGCCAAGATTCAAACCTGATTTCCAACCAATTTTGTCCACTTACTCAGACTATCTTCCTTAGGAGAGATGTTCAAATTGTCAGCATCCAATTCAAACACAAGACTTGTAACTGCAAATGCATTAAGAGCCAGTATTCCATTTGGGTCTGGTCCCACACCAGTGGGTGATTCGGTGAAATCTTTGAATACCTCCAAGCCTCAGGTTTTTAATCTGTAAAATGGGGATCATAACAGTACCTTCCTCACTGGGTTGTTGGGAAGATGAAATGAATTGTTATGTGTAAAGAGTTTCAACCATGCGCAGTGCTGAATCAATAAATATTAGTGCTGTCCTGGTGTGGTGCTGCAGGATAAGGCACTGGAACGCAAGGCTGGTTTGAACCACAAGGTCAGCGGATCAAACTCGCCAACTGCTCCTTGGAAACCCTATACAGGGTCACTATGAATCAGAACCCATTCTACGGCACTTAACAACAGGCTAAGTACTAGACTGCTAACCACAAGGTCAGTGGTTCAAACCCACCAGCTGTTCCTCGAAAACCCTATACATAGGGTCGCTGAGTCAGAACCAACTCAAAGGCACTTAACAACAACAACAACAGTGATATTATTATGGGGACCCTAAGAGGAGTACTGGTGTGGCTTTGCAGGATGAGCACTAGACTGAAAGATTGATTTGAACTGCAAGGTGGTGGTTCAAACCCACCTTGGAAACCCTATATAGGGTTGCTAAGAGTCAGCACTTAACAACAAAGAGCAGAAGAAAGACACAAAGATACAAAGATACATAGTGATACAATGGTTAAGTGCTCAGCTGCTAACTGAAAAGTTGGTTGTTCAAACCTACCAGCCACTCTATGGGAGAAAGATGAGGCAGTCAGCTTCCATAAAGATTTTAAGTCTTGGAAACCCTGTGGAGCACTTCTATGCAGTCCTATAGGGTCGCTGTGGGTTGGAATTGGCTCAGTGATAACAAGTATGATAAGAGCAGATTTCCTTGGCGTCCTCATTTAAAGTCTCTATGAAGAAGCCTCTTGTTTCCCCCTTAGTCTCCTGACCCACCTGCTCCTCGGTGACCAGCTGATCCACCATGTTGCTCCCAAACTTGTGGCGAATATTGTCAGGAATGACACTCTTCTCCTGGCACTCGGGTGAGCCCCTCCAGTCCTGAGCCTGCAAGCCGACATCTCCTTCCAGCCCCTGGCCTGGCAGAGCTCCCTCTTGGTAGGCACCCATGTTCTCCTTTGAAGAGTGTCGTGGGCATCCCCTCTGCAGGGGCCCAGACTGTAGGTCCATCCCCAGAGAGCCCCCGTGGATGGCTGTTGGGGGAGGAGGTTGCACCTTCTTTACATGGGCCAGCCTGAGCTGGCTGCTTCCGGTGTTGTCTCCCTGGGTTGGGGATGACAGTGGGCTGTCTAAGGGGCTACAGGCATTTCTCCAGGAGTTCGAGTCCTGTTGGGCCTCCTTGTTGTTCAGGTGGGTCCTGGTCAAAGTGGTTGTACCTGAGTTGGGGGACATAAACAGGCAATCACTCAGAAAGAGGAGAGCAGGCAGGGGGCACAGAGGTGGTATGGGGCGAGCAGACAGACACAAAGCCCCAGAGAGGCAGAGACAAGGACAGAGGTCCTAAGGGCCTATAGTGTGCTGAGCAAGACAGAGAGAGGCAAGGGAAGAATTACTGCAGTCGCCAAGTCCCCCAGTGACAGGATAACAGTCTTATTCTTATCCCATGCTGCTTTTGACAAAAAGGCATACAGCGCAAGTCTATCCAGCCTTGAGACCTCGCTGTGGGAACTTGAGCAGGGATCTGGCCTGTGCCTCAGTGTCCCTGGCCCCATTTACTTAGCTTCCTTCCATATCTTGATCCACCCAGTCACACAGTGAGGGAATTCAATGGGTGCGGGGGCTAACTGGGGGCATTCCTGAACTTGACTGGGAGATAATCAGAGCAGGTCAGAGTCTGGTCTTCCTTCCAGCTCATGAAAGCTCCCCATCCCCATTCCTTCCTCTGCTTCCCAGGGCTAATTGGGTGGGATCTTCCCAGCCATCCCTGGCTCCCACATCTCTATCCAGTGTCCCCCACACCCACACCCAGTCCTTCACCATTCACCCACTCCAGGAACCCACTAGAGAGATGGTCACTTAATCCCACCCATCGTATGATGGACCATGAGGCTGGCTCTGCTTCCTGGAATACCAGTTCTCCTTTTTCGTAAATTGAAGTCCTATCTTTCTGTTGTGGGTTCACTCATTAGCTGCCATGGAGTTGACCCCCAACTTATGGAGACTCCCTGAACAACAGAGCACTACAGGCCCTGCTGTCCTCCAGGACACACAGAGACACAGGAGAGAAGGCCGTGCTAAGACCGAGATTGTACTAAGGCAGCTGAGAACCAAGCAACACCACGGGCTGCTGCAAGGGGCAAGGAAGGGGTCTTCCTTAGCGCTTTCCAAGGGAGGATGCCCCTGGATGGCACAGATGGTGAAGTACTTGACTATCAGCAGAAAGATTGGTGGGTTGAACCCATTCAGAAGCACCTTGGAGGACAGTCCTGGTAATCTGCTTCTAAAAGGCCATGCATCACCTGGGAAACTGATAGAGCAGTTTAACTCTGCACCCATGACACTGCCGTTCATTGGAATTAACCCAATGACAACAACATGACCCTGGCTAGACCACAATGGCAGACTTCTAGCCTCCAGGACTGAAAGGATACATTGCTGTTATTTGAAGTCATCAGGTTCCCAATGCACTGGTCTGCAAAAAAAATAGTCCCACCAAGAAATCCACCCTGACACCATCCCCACCCAGCCCAGCCAGCTCCTCCTCTCAGCTCCCCAACACTCAACACATCTCTCAAGATGCTCGGGGAGTGATGGACAGACTGTCTTGGTTGCCCTCCTAGATGGGGAAGGTGGGTGGTATTGAGACAGGGTCTGTGTAGAATGAGTCAGGTCTGGGCCGTCACCACAGCCAGCAGAGAGCTCTGTGTGTGCGAGACAGTGGTGAATACAGGGGAAGAGGCAGGGTGGCTGCAGGGTATCAGACCCGAATAACTCTCAGTGGGTTCTCAGATGCTCATTTCCTCTGACTGTCATGAGCTAAGGAAGCCCCGGGTCGTGGTTCAACTGCAATGTTTTCTCTTCATGAATATAAGTGGTGGCCGACCTCCCCACCCTGGCATCTTGGGGTACAGCATCATCAGAACACTTAAAGGGTAGGTATGTTCTTCTCTTAACTGGGAAATAAACCAATAAGATAGAGATCAAATTACCCTCCATGGCCTGCCCCCATCCTCAGTCCTATTCAGTTGTTGTTGTTAAGTACCCTGGAGTCAGTTCCGACTCATAGTGACCCTGAACAGGTTTCCGAGGCTGCAAATCTTTACAGGAGCAGAAAGCCTCATCTTTCTCCCACAGAACAGCTAGTAGATCTGCCGACCTTGAGGTAAGCTGCCCTATTCGTAACCACTATGCTACCAGAGCTCCTTAGTCGTATTCTGTAGCTCCCTTCAAAACTTTTTGGAAGGGCTCTCCATCCCTCTCCAAGGAGAAATTTATGTCACCTTTGTTTATAAATGAAATCAGACTCTAGGTATTGTATGTAACTTGCTGTTCAACATGTAACACTAGGTCTTGGCAGTAATGTGGCTTTCTTTTCAGATTGCTCAGGAGTTAGCTCCCACCCACAGTCAGGTTTTGAAGTGGTCTTTTAACTCCCAGTGGACCCTGCTTTTCTGTGGCCAAGTAGCGGTACTCTGGGAGAGCCCCTCTCAGTCATCCCAAGAAGTGCTGCTGAACCCTCCCCAGGGAAGTGGGAGGTAGAGAAAGCAGAGATCAAGCAGTCTGATCCTGGCCTATCCCTTTGTCCCCCACACCAAAGGTAGACGTCTGACCTGTTCCCCCAGCAAACAGGAAGCCAAGCTGAGGGTGGGAGTGTGGTGGGGATGCACAGTCTCAGAAAAGAGAGACAGAGAATGGGAAGTGCCCAGCATCAGGTACTCAACAACAGCCCTCATCCTGCACTTGGGGAGACATAGGTCCAGCACAGGGGTGGGTGCCCTCTGACTCCACAAGGCTCCTCAATCCTACCAGGCTCCACTTCAGGCTGTCTCCTCTCACAGCCCAACCATACTATCACCGCATCCTGTCCTCGCCGTGTAATAATTGCCTGCTCACCCCATGCCTATTCCTGGAGGTTCTAAGTGCTTTAACAATGGGGACCTCGGCTTGAATCCAATGCCTCAAAGAACCAATATATTCACCTATTGGTTCATTGTACTGTGTGCCAGGTGCTGACGCAGGTCCTAGGTTGCAACAATGACCCCAACATGCCAATCCCTGTCCTCTGGGAGCTAAATATATGTGGAATGAATGAAGGCATGAGTGAATAAATGAATGAAGGTCTCATCTGTCATTTCTGGAATCTCACTGTAACTCCACCTCTCCTGCACTCCATTCATTCAACTATACAACAGGGAAGGCAAATCCCAAGAAGAAAAACTCTCAGTGAGATGGTTGGCATAGTAGTCACCAGAATGGACTTTGTTGTTAAGTGCCGTAGATTCAATTCCAACCCATAGAGACCCTGTATAGGGTTTCCAAGGAGCAGCTGGTGACCTTGAACCACTGACGTAGCAGTCTGATGTATTAGCTTACAGTGCCACACCTACTAACCTGGGTGGTGAAGATGGTGCGGGACCAGGTAGCCTTTCCTTCATGGGGTCCCACACCAAACCGATTGCCATCAAGTTGATTCCAACTCATAGCAACCCTTTAGCAGCCTTATAGGACACAGTGGAGTCCTGGTGTGGCACTGTGGGTTAATAAGCTGGACTGCAAAGTTGGTTTCAACCACAAGGTCAGCGGTTCAAGCTCACCAGCTGCTCCTTGGAAACCATATACAGGGTTGCTATGAGTCAGAATCACTGGCACTTGGTAACAACAACAATTGGAGAAAGAGTTCATCAGGAGTCCCACTCAAACACTCTGGGCTCCCTCTGTCTCCTGACCTTCCCGCCACCACACACACACCACCCTTCTCTAGCCTGTAGGGACCCTTCCCAGTGTGGACCCCACTCAGTCATTGCTACTGTGAAACACTTTGTTCTTTCTCAGGTTAGAATCCTGCCCTCAAGGATTAGGTCCAAGATCTCTGTCACCCCCTCTCAGTATTCTATGTCTTTCAGCTACCAGCCTTCTCTTGCATCTAGGCCTGAAGTGTTGATCTCACTGTTGCCCTGCCTCTCCTTCCCCTCCTCAGCTTGGCTTGGCTCACTGAGAACTGACATGTACCCCCACCAACACTAGGCCAGGCCCTGCTATCCCACAACCCTGTGCTGGGGCACCAAGTCAGTTCCCTCTTAGCTCTGAGCCCCTCAGTGGGGGCTGTACTGGGGTCATAACCCACAAATATTCCCTCCCCAACCTTCTTCTTCTGTCTTCAAACAGAAGACTTGAGGAATCCGGGCCATGATGGTGGGTCTGAGGGCCAAAGTAAGAGTGAGAGAGAAGAAGGTGGGAGGTGCCACTGCTTCTCCTCCGGAGGTCCTGGGTGCAGGTTCTGTATGTCCCTGGTCCCTGGTCCTCCCAGCCTACCTGCTCTGTGGCCCAGCTCCATTTTCTCTTGTTTCTCGTCCTGGGACAGGTAATTCCAAGTTTAGTCCTGTAGACAAAAAAGCCCACTCATTGAATAATTGTTATCAGGACTGATTATGAGGGCTGGAAATGTAAAGGTAGACATTTTGTAGCAAGGAGGGGAGGGATTAACTTTACAGTGTAGGAGTGGAGGTCCCTGGGACCATCAAAGGAGAAGAGCGGAGAGCAGGACCCTACGCAGAGAAGCAGTGACGCCAGAGATGGAGGCAGAGACGATGACGTGGAGAGATGGAGCAGCTGGGGACTTTAGACCCAGAGAGGGAGAGGGGCTGTGTGCTGACGACTGGGGGGTGGGGTGTCAGGCTTGCAGGGTATACCCTTTGGTTAGTTGATGATGCACGGAGGGGATTGTAACCATGGCAATGAAATGATATAGGATAGGATGAATGTAAAACTAATGTTCTCCCATGTAAACTACCGCATAATTCACAATAAAACATTTAAAAAAAAGGGGCCACTCATTCATTGCCTCAGAAGACACAGGCTTTCTGGTGCTGACCAGAGAGACTGCGCGCTCTAACCAGAGATACCTCCATGCTGCTCCTGGGATTCAGGCCCTGGCCAGACCTGCATAGGCCCTGCCTCAACCACCACTCACACTGGCCTCTGCCTCCTGCCCACTGCAGGCCCGACCTCCTATGAAAAGCCCTGGGCACCCTCACTACCGGGTCCTTTCTCAAACGGTTCCTCTTCTTCCTTTATAATTGTTTAGATCGCATTGTGTTGTGTCCCCAAAATAAATGTGGGAGTCCTAACCCTGTGGATGTAATCCCATTTGGGAGTAAACTTCTTTGTTAGGTTAATGAGGCCAAATCAGTGTAAGGTGAGCTCTAAATGTAACCAATTCTGAGTGATATAAAGAACAGCATATTGTCGTGTGCCTTTGAGTGGAGTCTGACTCATACAGGAAGAACTGCCCTATGGGATTTCCTAAACTGCTCTCTGGGAGAAAGATGAGGCTGTCAGCTCCCTTAGAGAGTGGTACTCTCAAACACCTGAAGGAGCAGTTCTACTATGTCCTATGGGGTCACTGTGAGTCAGAATGGACCCCATAGCACTGGGTTTGGGTGACTTTTAATCTTTATGGGAGCAGACCACCAGCTGTTTTCTCCTGTACTGTTGGCTAGTGGGTTCAAACCACCAAACTTACAGGTAGCAGCTGAGCACTTACCCTTTGTACCACCAGGGCTCCTTAAAAAGAAGCAAAGATGTAGAAAAGCTGTCCGTGGGTACCACAAAGAATTTGCACTCAGCAGGCTACCAATTGAACCCACCCAATGGAAGGTTACCAGTTGAACCCACCCAATGGAAGGTTACCAGTTGAACCCACCCAATGGAAGGTTACCAGTTGAACTCACCCAATGGAAGGTTACCAGTTGAACCCACCCAATGGTGCTGCAGTTAAGAAAACCCCATGGAGCACTCTATCTCACCCGGAGTGGTCATGAGTCAGAAGAAACTCCACGGTAATGGACTTTTGAGTTTGTTTGTTTGGGGTTTATATAGATTTGAGTAAGATTTTGCTGAAGATAATTCAAAACCGGTTGTAACAGTACACTGACAAACAACTGTCAGAGATTCAAGGTGGATTCAGGAGAGGATGTTGTTGTTGTTGTTAAGTGCCGTTGAGTTGGTTCCAACCCACAGCGACCCTGTAGAGGGTTTCCAAGGAGCGACTGATGAGCTTGAACCACCAACCTTGCAGGTCAAACCAACTTTGCAGTCTAGCACATTAAGCCACAACACCACATCAGGATTCCAGAAGAGGATGTGGAACAAGAGATATCATTGCTGGCCTCCCTTGTCAAGACGTGGATCTTGGCTAAAGGCAGAGAAGACCAGAAAGAGGTTTTCTTATGTTTTATTGACTATGCAAGGCATTCAACTGTTTGGATCATAACAGACTATGGATAATATTGTGATGCATGGACAGTTAAGATCATATAACTGTGCTCCTGCAGAACCTGATCATAGACCAAGAGGCAGTCATTCAAACAGAACAAAGGAACACTGAATGATTTAAAA